ATTAATAATAGAGACATGTCTTATACCCTCGCATGTGCATGCTCTATTATATTATTATTATTATTTACTTACTCCAGCTTGTCTATCTATATAATTAATTTTACTCGATTAAAAAGTTTTATACAGAAAATAAGAAATTTACTCTTTTTTTTGTAGGAAAAAAAAAGCTAAGCAAGTATAGGTTGATCCAGATTCATTTCATCACCAAACAATTTCCTGGAATATTGTTAATAAAAACTATATTTTTAGATAAGAGAATTCTAAAAATTGCAATTTTATTTCTCATCCATTTATTCAGGTAATAAGGAGGGTTCATAAACTCTATTACATAAGAGTATGCTTTTCTAGTTATAAAGCTTTGGACCATGAAATTCTACAATTCCTCTGTTAATTCATTCCCCTCTGCATAGGAATCCTGCAAATTTCAAGTAATAAAACTAATTAAGCAAAAGATGCATAATTCTCAATAAAATCAAATAAAAAAAGTACTAATTAATTAATCAGTCAATTATATTGACAATTAGAGAGTACAAACAGCAAAATTAATTAGTATACTAATTAACAACATCCTAACATACTAAATCGAAAATCTTAAATCCAAACTTTCAGTTGGATCAAAGGTAACTCCATCTCTACTAAGTTTAGTTTTGTGGACTGATGTGAATTTCCAACCATCTGCACAGTAGACTTTTAAAACCCTATTGGTCTTTTTTTGTTGAAATGTATGAGTAAGTACCTATTGTACTCTTTTTTTTAATAAAATATTTGGATTCATCAAAAAAAAAAAAAAAATCAAATTTTCAGTTCATTTATATCAAATTTAGGAACAAAGTCAGAAGGAGAAATGGATTACGTATTGCAGTCGATGTTGGGGTCGATGGGCACCGGAGTTTTAACACTACACTTTGGAGCCAACTCCTTAGCTCTTTCTGGGTTGACCCCAAAGCTAGGGGCAGCACCCTTCAAACAATTACAAAGGTCCCGACGATCTTGGGTTGTAGAAGCTTCATCATTCAGTTTAGACACGCCTTCGCAGCAAAAAGCACTTGGGGATGGCGAAACACCCGTTAAGAAGGGCACGCAAGGCGTCAATGTGATTATGGCTTCCGGACATGATATGGTAGCATGCACGCAGCGGCTGCCCACCATGGCCTAAATGATTCCGAGCCCAAGAATCCATAAAAACCAAGACCCACAATCCATCATTTTTCTCTCCATTTTTCTTCTCTCAGACTATTGCTATACGCTAGAAATTACTATCACAAGAGGTATAGAATTTGCTTCTGTGGAGCCATTGGGTTTGCCTTGAAAACAATTTATAGGGATTTCCATTAAAGCTAGTCAATGATTCATTAATATTTACAGCTGTAACCTTCCATTTCTTGATATGTACATACCATAATTTGATATGGTAACTTTAATTGAAAAATATAAAGTGAATGACTTCAATAATACAATACCATGCGTACTCTTTAAATAAAAGGGTTTTTCTAGTTTTTGTATTAAGGTTTATTGTACTTTTTT